TAGTAAAACTCAGCAGAAACCAACCAGGTGGTGGAGAGAGGAGATGGGTAATTCACACCTAACAGGTACAATGCATGCTATCTGAGTGAGGGGCATGCTTATAATTTTGACTCAAACTGCATAAAAGCAACTCATGTGACCAAAATATTCTTTACTAAGAGTCAGTCTCAGTGCTGTCTACCCCGCCCCTGTTCCACTTTCTCTGAGGGCTCTGGGAAGTCCCAGAGCATCCGTATCCTCTCTTGACCCCTCTGTGAGCCTCCTGATGGGCCCACCCCTCTACCTCGTGGCACCCAGCACAGCCAGGAGGCCTTCATGGCCCAGAGAAGTGTTTCCAGGTGATCAGGCTACAGCCAAACCACCCCTGTGGTTTAACCATTATTTCTCCAGGCAGAAGGCCAAGAAGAAATAACCGTAAATGTTACAGTTTTCCTCTTGGTTTTATTTAATGACAATTTCTGAAGGGATAATTGCCCCATTTTATTTTAATGGATGCTTGCTAAGTGGCAGGCACTGTTCCAGCCACCACCTTCATTTCACTAATAGTGAAACTGAGGAATAGGGGTTTAGTGATTTGCTGGAGGCTGGCTTGAAAGGGATTTGAGATCAGAGCCTGGTGCTGGCCATAGGCTTCAGCTACCTACCTCTGTGCTTCTTGCTGACCCTCAGCTACTGAATGACAGAGGGAAGGAGCAAGCTACCCCAGGTGGATGACCCTGAGCCAGTCCTTTTTAAGGATAAAGAGGTATGTGTGCTCAGCTGTTGTTCCTCCAGGCGAGCAGGGCTGAGGAGCTTCAGTGAAGGCAGGTTTTTCTGGCCCAGCTCAAGACGTAGAGGGGAAGGAGGGACTGGCCTGAGTGGGAGCTGGCACCCAAGGATTGGCAAAGGAAAGGGCTGTAGGTGGTCCTGAGATTCTAGACATGATGGAAGGGTGACAGCAAAATCAGAACCCGACAGAAGTCTGGCCTGGACAGAGGTCCCAGTGCCACAACATCAATGCCTGTGAGATACATTTCTAGAAGTTCAACAGATACGCACATTTTTAATTTCGAGAGAATGCGTAATTGCCTTCCAAAGAGGGTGCTTAAATTTAAACTCTTACTTATTGTCTCAATCTTACTGATCTCATAGGCAAAATGGGTTTAAAAAATGGCTTTTATTTAGAGATGGGAGGGATTTAAAAGGAATTCTGATGTGACTAGCAAGAGAAATTCCTAGAAGATCAGCTTCCTTTTATTTTATTCTAATTTTTTGAACAATACGAATGCGATGTGAATGCCATTTTATTCACTTCAGTGCAGTATAGTACAGGGAGTGTCCAGCCAAAAGGATGAGCTGCAAAAGGAAAGAGAGCTTTGCTCATGAAAGACATTACTGAATAGATGTCAGTGCGGCAGAGGTTTCATGTTGAAAATTAGATTTACGCTTTCTTGCACAAAGAAACCACTCCTTGTCCATTTCCCTCACGGCAGCCATCTCCCAGACTGTGCCCACATGGCCTATGAGACTTCCAGCTGGGTGTAGACACAGCTGGTGGTCCTGAGGACAAGGATCCTTTAACCAGCCTACCAGGGGCTCTGGTGGCACCTCCTGCTGTACCCCCAGGAGGCTGTCACAGGTCTGGGGGTGGAGACAATATGTAGAATGTATTTGTCTGACGGCTGAGCAAAGCCAGCTTGGCCAGCAGGAGGGGAGCTGCAGTGGAGAATCGGACTCGTAGAACACTCTGGTGTTCAGAGTGTTCTGAATCTGATGATTCAGATTCAAGATCTCTTCACAGTTGGGGATGGTTACATGTCTGAACTTGTCAGCTTCCCCTCGTGAGGCACAGGTATAATTCTAGGACATTATCAGAATGCTAGGAAAGTTTAGATTACAAGATTCCAACAATTTACTTGGTCACCTTGGGAAACTGTCTCCCATAGCTGTATGGTCTTTACAGTGGCCACAATTTAACATGTCCTACAGGGAACTTTCTGATTGCTTTTCAGAAAAGTTAGTGTTATGAAGAGTTTCACCTAAATATACATAGTAATGATTGCACAACTCTGGATATACTAAACCCATTGAATTATATACTTTAGATAGGAGGATATTATGATACTTGACTTATGTCTCAAGAAAGCTGGCAAAAATTTGTTAATGTTGACATTAAAAAGTTAACTGTCTTTTTTTTTTTTAAATAAGCGACAAAAGTACATCCTGCACACAGATGTTTTTTGGGGGAAGTTCAGGGTATTAAGTGTGAGTTGTAACAGCTCTGCTGGGCCGCAGTGCTGCAGTGGCAGGCACTTCATGGGGCTGGGTTTGGGAAGGGCCTAGCAGCACACATAGCCCTCACATTCAGCCCCTCTCACCTGACCTAAAGTGAGCAAGGAAGACAAAAATAGCTTACTGTCAAAATTACCCTTGGCCGTTTTTTAAAGAAAACATCTGTAAATGCTCAAAGAGCACAGTGTGTGTGTTTTTATATATTATATAAACTCTGTACCTTAATAGGTATGTGCAAATATATATATCTTTTGCGCAGTAACGTACTGTGTATTAAAATGCTAAATATAATTTATAATACTACCATATTTAATTTTATCACCAGTTTTTTGATCAAGTGTGTGTGTGTAGAGGAATTGAGTGTTTGTGCAATGGGATCTACTTACTGTTTAGGACTATAATCTTCTTATCATTGAAGTTTAATCATTTATTCTGCATTGATGTGAATCGAATCTCCTTAACAACTAGAGATGTTGGCTCGGCGCCTGTGGCTCAAGTGGCTAAGGCACCAGCCACATACACCTAAGGTGGCGGGTTCGAATCCAGCCCAGCCCGCCAAACAACAATAATGGCTGCAACCAAAAAATAGCTGGGCGTTGTGGCGGGCACCTGTGGTCCCAGCTACTTGGGAGGCTGAGACAGGAGACTAGCTTGAGCCCAGGAGTTGGAGGTTGCTGTGAGCAGTGAAGCCATAGCACTCTACCCAGGGGGACAGCTTGAGGCTCTGTCTCAAAAAAAAAACCAAAAAATAAAAAACCAGAGATGTTGCAAGTGGTTTCTTATGGAATCATAGTCAGCCCTTGACTGTCTGTGGGGCAGGTTGTCTTCTCTTAGGTTCACCTCTGGAAAAACTTTGATTCTAGTCAGACATTTCTCTCACTCCAGAAAAATGTAATTGAGAAAATTAATTTTTAACCCTCACGGTGTTCGTCCCATGCCCAGTGGTCAGGAGTGCTTACATCCTAAAGTCAGGTCTCCTTGGTTCTACTCTGGTTCTGGGTGAGTCCCAGCCTTCCCAGATTCTGTTCCAAAAGGTAAGAGGAGGGTTATGGACCAACCTCAAAGGCTGCTGAGAGCTTGAACTGACGTCTATGTGGCCCAGTGCATGGTATGTGGTAAGTTCTCAGCAAAATTAATTACTGCTATGCTCTTAATGTTTATGTTCCCACTAAATTCATATGGTGAAATCCTCACCCCTCAAGGTAATAATATCAGCTACAGCCTAAAGGTGATTAGGTTGTGGGATGGAGCCCTTATAAATAAAATTATTGCCCTTATAAATAACGCTAGGGAGACCCCTCACCCATTCCACCATGTGAAGTTAGAATGAGAAGTGAACCCAAACCAGATGCTGAACCTGCTAACCCCTGGATCTTGGACTCCAGCTTCCAGAACTGTGAGCAATAAATTCCTATTGTTTATAAGCCACCCAGTCCATGGTATTTTGTTCCAGCAGCTTACACATACCAAGATGGGAAATGTGAATATGTGAATATGCCTCAATAACTATTTTATCAACCATTCCTTTTGCTTCATCAAAACAGATACATAGGTTGCTACAAAAGTTTTGAGACCGACTATGTTATGGTCCATTATTTCACTTCCAAGGAACACAGTTGACAGTGTCCTTTCTGATTCACTAATGCGAGTTGCAGCTTGCTTGGCTTATTGGTGTTGCTGGGATGGTATCATTTATTTCCATCTGCATTATTTTACATTTCTTGATTTTCATGTATCTCAAAACTTTCATAATGACCTACTTATATGGTCATCCTATTCTGCATAATTCATTGTGAAGACATGGTGAGGAATACAAAGACAGAAATGCCAGCCTATGCCCTTGTCAGGGGTGTGTATATGTCCAATGATGTTAGAAAATGGGGTAGCCAGAGCCAGGGCCAGGTCACCTCCCATGGGAACTGAGCTTTGAGGTGGGCAGCTTTCCCCAAGGCAGGGAAGAGAGGATGAAAGGACAGAGGATGATGGAAGGGTTACCCACAGGGCCACAGAGAGGAGGGCCAACAGTTCATCTAGTCCATGGTGGAGTAGGTGGGTCTGGAAGGGCAGAACCAAAATGACAAGCATCACTTCCAATTTGGAAAAGTATTATTTTGAAATATGAGGGCAGAAAATAAAGCCAAACAACATCTTCTTGATTTGTTGGCCTACTTTGAAGATGAAGGCTCTGTGGGGCCCAAGGGAGAATGAGATGGTTTTACTCTTGCTATTGTCAGAGTAGTGCTTACTCATGGTCCAGCTCCAAGCCATACAGATGGAGGGGAAGTAGAAGCAGAGGCCCAGCAACAGTCCCCACCTGCCATCTGCTGCTGCTGTGACCTCCTTATGATTCTTCCCAGGCCTATGCTGTGCAAATCAAGGAATACAGGGAGGTGGGGACTTCAGGGTCCCAAGGTGGTTGGCTTATGTTGCTGGCTTTTGATATGATAGACGTGGCCACAGGGAAAGCTATCTCCTGCAAGCACAGCATGAGACAAATTTCCTGCAATGGAATGGCAAGGCCAAGAGGCATGACACAGGGTGCATGAGTGATTTTGTCACAGAGGAAGGAGGGGAGTGCCACTCTTCTTCACATCCAGGAAGGTCACACCTTGCTCTGCAAGCAGCAGGAGACCTTTGGAGTTGCCACCTTGGTTTGCATCCCCAAAGTGTTTTTTTCTAAGTGTAAACTGAGTGTTTTATAAAAGTGGCACTTTTTTCTCTTTGAATAGGAATCTTTGCCTACATGAACTACAGAGTCCCCCGAACAAGGAAGGAGATCTTTGAGACCCTCATCAAAGGCCTGCAGCGGCTGGAATACAGAGGCTATGACTCTGCAGGTGGGTCCCCCTCCTTCCCACTTCAAAACAGGACTTGGCTCTGCTGCCCTGCTCATGCCCATTTCTCTCCTGTGAGGTTTGACAATCTGGGCTTTTATTAAAGTTTCTTCTCAATATAAAAAAAAAAAATACTAGCCATTAAAGAAATTTGAAAAGTAGAAAAAGAGAGGAAACGAGGGTAAAGCAATAAATTTTAAGTAAGTCCTCCATTAAAGTTTTCCCCCATCAAGAAATAGGAGGCTACAAATCTTCAGTATGCAAAATGAAGAGGTTCTAGAGGTCTCCTTGTAGCACAGTGCCTGTGGTTCAGAACACTATATTATGTACTCAGCAATTTGCCAAGAGGGCCTTAGATCTGCTAAGCAGATCTTATGTTAAGTGCTCTTACCACACAAACAAAATAATAATAGGAGACTTTTGGAGGTGGTGGATGGATTGGTGATATAGATTGTAGTGGTGATTTCACGGGTGCAGATGTCTCCAAACTAATCAAGTTGTAGATATTAAATATGCACCACTTTGTGTATGTCAGTCCTACCTCAAAAATGTGTGGCCTCAGAAAACAAAAGGACCCTCCATCAATCTTTGATTGTCTTCATGTCCTTTATCCAGCCCTTGTTGTCTGGATGATCTGGGTGGTGAGGAATGAAGGTGTTGTACTTGGATATTTTTTGTTTTTACCTAATCATGATATCATTATGCAATTTTGTAATTTTAAATTCTTCTCTTTTCACTTATCATAGCACTTCCTGTCATCTTAACCTCTCCCAAAATATCTTTCTAAGTGGATACCTAATCTTCTACCTGGTGACTCAGAGTTTACTCCATCCACAAAATAGTGGATATTTAATCTGTTACCTACTTTTAATTAAGCAGCCCAAGGGAAAAAGAGAGCCAGATGATCTTATATCCCCTTCAATTCTTTTTTTTTTTTTTTTTTTTTAAGAGACAGAGTCTCACTTTATTGCCCTCAGTAGACTGCGGTGGTGTCACAGCTAACAGCAACCTCCAACTCCTGGGCTTAGGCGATTCTCTTGCCTAAGCCTCCTGAGTAGGCGCCCACCACAACACCTGGCTATTTTTTGTTGCAGTTTGGCCAGGGCTGGGTTTGAACCCACCACCCTCAGTATATGGGGCCGGCACTGAGCCACAGGTGCCACCTGATCCCCTTCAATTCTTGTTTTTGTTTTTTGCAGTTTTTGGCTGGGGCCAGGTTTGAACACACCACCTCCGGTATATGGGGCTGGTGCCCTATTCCTTTGAGCCACAGGTGCCACCCCCCCTTCAATTAATTCTTAAGTGAAAGCAAAACAGAGAAAAGATTTCAGGGACACTAAAGCAGTGGAGATACCAGCAAAAATATCACAATGTGAAGAGCACACAGGACAAAAGCCCTTCACTGAACCCATTGCTTTTAGCCGAGGACCTGGCAGTGCCTCCGCCACCACCTTGGAAGCATCCAAAGTGCTCACTGCTGTTAGCAGGCTAGGCAGAAGCTCAGGGAGGCAGCTGCCACACAGAGGAAGCAGGGAGTTTCCCCCTTTGCCGTTAGTCTCCACGTCTGGTGTGTCCACGTAGATTTCTACAAACTGCCCAGCTCTTTTCTGGGGCACAAGCCCTGTAGTAACCAGCCAACCCTGAACTAGCAGCCCTGCCCCTGTGTAGCACCTTGTGCATTAGTGTGTGATGCTTAAACCGCAGGTGTGGCAATCGATGGAAATAATCATGACGTCAAAGAAAGACACATCCAACTGGTCAAGAAAAGAGGAAAAGTCAAGGCTTTGGATGAGGAACTCTACAGTAAGTGGACAACACTCCAAGTTCAAGTAATGCATGCATCGTGGACCACTTTAACAGACAAATTTTTTTCCAACAGCATTCAAGACTAAAACTATTAATGTATCCAAGCTTGGATAAATAGAAGGAGGGTTAAGCTCATGTTGTAAAACGGTGTTTCACAGAGCGTAGGATGGCTTATTTTAGGCAGTGGCACATGGAGCTTTTAAATTTTTAATAGTTATGTGCAATATTTATTTTAATTATTCTAGCAAATGATACTGTTTTTCTATTTTATGTTTTGCTTTTTAAAGTAAGTTTATTTCAGTCAAGAAGTAAGCCAAGATACTGATAAGTCCTAAGTAAACCTCTGCACACAGGGATGTGAGGTCCGGCAGGAGGGCCCAGGGTGGAACCTGGGTGTAATGTGTTGTTGGCAGGAGTGGTGTGTCGTGGTGTGGAGACACCAGCACGTCTCAACAGTTGCATGTCATGGCTTGTTTTTGAAGTGTGAAAAATTGATTCTTCTTTCATTTAGAACAAAACAACATGGACTTAAAGGTGGAATTTGAGACGCACTTTGGCATTGCCCACACTCGCTGGGCCACCCATGGGATTCCCAATGCCATCAACAGCCACCCTCAGCGCTCTGACAAAGGCAATGGTACGTGTATGGTATAGCCTTCTTTTCCGTCCCTGAAGGCTCTGCCCCACCCTAAGCCACATGGCTGGGCTGATCCTGGCCACAGCAGTATCCATGCCCACCTCTAGCTGACTTCTCACCCAAATCCCCTTGATCCTAAAGCCCTGCTGGTGGCCCTGGACTTTTGTCAAGAAGCAAACTCAGGGGAGTGCAGTGGTTCACGCCTATAATCCTAACACCCTGGAAGATAGAAGTGGGTGGATTGCCTGAGCTTGGGAGTTTGAGACCAGCCTGAGCAAGTGTGAGACCCTGTCTCTGCTAAAAATAGAAAAACTAGCCAGGCGCTGTGGCTGGCATCTATAGTCCCAGCCACTTGGGTGGCTAAGGCAAGAGGATCTCTTGAGCCCAAGAGTTTAAGCTTGCTGTAAGCTATGGAACCAAAGCACTCTACCCAGGGTGACAGAGTAAGACTTTGTCTCAAAAAAAAAGAAGAAAAGAAAAGAACAGGCAAATTCAACCTGGCCCCTGGGTGGTGTTGACCTATTGAGCATCTATAGGAAAATGATGGCACTTGCCAGAAGGGCTGCTGGCTCCTTGGAACCTAGCCATGAGTGGGATGTGGCAGCATGAGGGACTAACAGAACCAGGCACTGTTCCTCCCTAAGAATTCAAAGTGTTCCAGAAGGCTGTACCTTTAAGGGAAGGATGGGGTCTGTCTTCATCCAGCTAAACCTACCTCTTTCCACAGAGGAGTGGTCCAGAGTGAGGCAGGGGGCTGTTCTGATCTTGACTGGTTTCTCAGTTGCCTACTCTACTCTCTGGGCCCCCTCAGGAGACCTCAGCAGCTAAGGGCTTAGGATTTGGAGAAGCAGAAGCTGCAGCCAGAGCCCAAGGGATACTCCCAGCAGGAGAGCCCTCAACTCAACTCACTTTGTATTAAAAGTGTTTTTAAAAGTTGAGAATTATTGTTCATACAAGTTCATATCTGGCATCCCTTGAAAAATGGGAGATCTGGAAACACTGAGTTCATGGCACCTCGGAGCACCATTGATGGGCAAAGGGCCAACGTCACTGTGACTGCTCATGGTTGGTTTTGGTTGGTCCTCCTAATACTCACCCCACACACACACCTGGGCCAGCCCCAGCTCACAGATCCATGCCACTTGGCTGGGCCCCCAGGACAGTTCTCCACAGCAGGATTCTCTTAAATAGTACCCTCTTCCTGCTTTCATGGTAGAAAGACTGGTAGGCCTGGAGCGCCTAGTGATAGCTCTCAGAGGCTTGCTGGTCAGTCCTCGGGGTGTCAGGGCTTCCTGCACTAGGACATGATGGGTGTGGAGATGGGGAGAGGATTTAAAACCTCACTCCTCCAAGACCTCCAAACCTCCAAGGGCATGCAAGAATCTAAGACGCAATCTGGGCCTGCCACTAAGTCCCCACTCTGATTGAAGCCTGGGCATTACAGGGGTGGGCATAAGTAAATAGAATGGTTTCTCGAGTCAGTCAGACCCCCACCCCAGATATCCCTGGCATGGTGCATGTTTTTACCATCCCTATATGACAGTAAGGGTCAAATATGTCAGAGCAGTTATTGGGGGCTTATTAGCAGGCACTTAGCCCCACTTGACAAACCTCACTGTGGTTAATCCTCATGGAAATAGGGCCAAGGAAGATAGCAGCACCTCCCTGCTTGGAGTCCTTTACCCACTACAGATCAGTGGTGCCCCCAGGTAGCACTAAGCAAGAAGGAAAACCACGAGGACTCCTAACAGAAAGTGCAGAGTGGTATGGCTTCTCTCCAAAGTACTCTCTAGGGACTCACCAGCTCACCTCAACCAATTTGGAAGGGAAGGCATCCTCCAGAGAATGGAAGGAGAGCCCCGTCCACCCTGCTTGGCAGAGCAGCTGTAGGTAGCACATGGGCCAGGGGCACTCATGTGTCTATGTGGTCAAATCTTTAGGCAACGAGGTAGTGAGGTTTCCGTTGGGGACTGTTCCTTGGGTCTGGTCCATGCACTGAACCACATGGCATATCAGGACTGGGACAAGATCCCTACACCAAGGAGGAGGACAGCAGACCCCACAGTGCTGGGGGACCTGGACTGTACATATGGCCAATCCCCAAGTCAAATGCAGAGTCTGATCCCCAGAGCAGCGGTGTTGGCTGAGAAAACACTGCCCCAAGATAGAGTGCCCTTGATGTTGCCACTTCAGCTGCAGCCTCCCAACCACCCATGCGATAAGGCAAACCTCACCAGAAAATCCCCTCCTCCAGGGCAGACAGTGATTCTGTGTCCCTAAAGCAGGGAGGCTCCAAGGAGACCCACCCACACCCAAACTTGGACACTTCTGCCCTGACTCAGGATGAGTAATTGAAAAGAAAACAACATGGGTGATAAGCAAAGATTCATAAACTTTCTTTAACAACCAGTGGTGATAGCTGAAGAGCACACCTTTAAGAAATTCTCACTTTTAGTAGCCACAGTGCCCAAGAAAATTTTACAGAGAAGCTTTTACAAAGAAAACATGTATTTTAGGGAAGAAAGAAGTAAGTTTTGGAACAATACTACGATGAAAGAAAATGTGACAGAGTTAAGGAAATAATGTAGAGAAATAATGTTATAATAGATAGGAAAAAGATTGGAGAAGGGGACAAATGTGGAACCAGTTACAAGAGATCCAACATATGGATTAACTGGGGTTCCTGGGAGGAAATCAAAATAAAATCTGAAACGCTGTAGCAGAGCTCAGCTGTAGCCCCCTCACCTGCTAGAGCTGGACTTTTCTTATTCAAACCCTCCCAGTTTTTGTGTGATGCCACAAAATTAAACAATAATTTTTTTAGGTACAAATTATAATGAAAATAAAGAAAAGTATTTTTAAAGTTGTAGTAGAAGAAATCTTTCCTGAACTGAAGAAAAACTTGGAGATCCAAAATATTACTTCATAGTAGTCAATATTTATGAAGGGCATCTAACATCTAAACATATTCTGGTGAAATTATTGAATCTCAAGAGTAGTAAGAAATTTTTCCCTCATCTAGGATGAGAGGAAGAGGGTGTTATTTGCTCAGTAGAACTCTCAGGCTGGCCTTAGATCTTTCCCTCAAAGTACTCACTCATTCATCAGCTATTGAGAAAATGCAGAGGGAACCAGGCAGACACATTGCTTGCTCCCATCCCAGGATCTGAGGGGTCCACCTTGCAGGATGTGGGGCAGTACTGGGGAAAGTGGGGGAGATGCAGCAGCCAGAGATGCAAGGACTGCTGGTGTTTTTCTCCCCAAGAAAACCAGGACTTTAAAGTGCAAAATGTAGATCAAACAAAGCACTTAAATAGACTGTTAGTTTGTAACCTAAAGTCTGTTGGGATGCCTGGGATGATTGCTGGTTAAAGAAGGGTTAATCATTCCCCCATGTGACTTAAATACCAAAGCCAATTTGATAGTTTTGCAGACTACAATATGGAGCTCTCAGCATGGGTATTTTGGTGGCTGCCTGTCACTGAGAGAGAAATGTGTATTTCCTTGAGTATAAATTGTAGTCATCGTAGACATCAGTTCTAGTCACTGCTTGACAGGGTCTTTGTAGGAGTGGAGTTTACAAAGGGTTTTCAAGCTATCACAGCATTTTTCTTCACATATGACTTGTACTTTATCTTTTCACAGCATTTCTCTCTTGACTTTTCTTCCAGAATTTGTTGTCATTCATAATGGGATCATTACAAATTACAAGGATCTGAGGAAATTTCTGGTAAGACTCTTCCCCTGAGTAACATCTGGGTTGCGTGGTATTAGTCTTCCTCAGAAACCTTCCAGCCAGCTCACTTGGCTCCAGAAGCAAACGCAGGAACTGAGTGAGACCCTTCTTAACCATACCACATCAAGAACAACCTCAGCCCCAGCCTCCCAGACTCCCCAGGCCTTGTCTAAGGAGATACTAGGGTATTAGCATTTATCTCAAGATCCACTACAGATTCCCAGAATCAAAATAACACGCCCTTGGTTTTATTAAAATGTCTGCACTATTTAACACATTGATGCATATACCCAATGGAATAGGGGCTGGGAGTCAGGCAGTGAGTGTCTAAAGTTTGGAAAGCTCGTGTAGTATTGGTCAGGATGTGGGTGGATTTGATTCACATATTTTATCATTGTGACTGCTGTTGTTTTGCAATGTCTGGATTAATGGCAAGGATAAACTTCTGAGGAGGAATGAGCTCAGGGAATCCAGGAGTGACTCAGAGGTGTTTGGCTGTATGATTTTGGCAAACGTTCTCCATCCTGTCCCAGTTTTCCTGGTTCTCAGCTTAAGTTGCTGCAAGGGCAGGTCATCTGGGAGGAGAGGGAGTTGGCTGGGCAGGCATTGCACAATGACCACTCTCTGACACTGTGTCCAACCACACATTTCAGGAAAGCAAAGGCTATGAGTTTGAGTCAGAAACAGATACAGAGACCATTGCCAAGCTGATTAAATATGTGTTCGACAACAAAGAAACTGAGGACATTACATTTTCAACACTGGTCGAGAGAGTCATTCAACAGTTGGTGAGTTACAAATCCCGTCTGTCTAAATCATTCCTTTATTTTTTTTATAAGCACTTATTAGGCAAATTTGCACAAAGTCCTGAGGATAAAAGATGGCTCATCTACAGCATCTGGCCTAAAGATGTCACATCCTTATAGTAAACATCAAAGAGAAAGTGCCTTGCCCTATTTTAACACCTCTGAAATTGTGACTGGCCTTATAGTCCATGACTTCTCATGATGTATGTGTGAACTTGGTGGGGGTATGCAAGAGAGGGTTGTGGTTCTGAGGGAGGATTGTGTTACTGAAGGGAATGACCCAGGAGAGAGAGAGATTGGTGACATCCCAGAGGGCAGGGCACAAGGAACCTAAGGGATGAGAAGGGAGCTCATCCAGGGGATAGTCCAAGGAGAGCCCATTCTTAGAAGAGGAGTTGGAGTCCACACAGGCCTGGGTGGGATAGGGGAGGCAGAGAGTGGCCCAGACCTCTCAGAGCCCCTCCTCCTAAACAGTGCTGACTATAGCTCCTCTGTGGCCATGGCAGCTAGAGATAGTGGTCAGGGCTGAGAATCCAGAATATCCTGGTTTACAGGCTGCTGTGGGCACCATGCTGTGGTTTATAATATATCATCCTTGGGTGAATGTTTTCAGAGTCTTTTTTAAAAAGTAAGTCTACTGTCAAAACCCTTTATTCTGTTACTGGCCTTCTTGGAAGTCCGGAATTTAGAGGACATGTGTATATATACGATCCTATCCCATACTTAATGCAACTAGGTAATGTGCGGTAAGTCAGTTTGGTATTTCACCGTGGTATTTCTTTTTCCATTTTTTATTTTGAAATTTTAGAAATATCTCCTCCACTTTTAAAATTAGGACTTGTCCTAAATTAACAAAAGCCTTGGGATTTGCCTAAAGCCCGTTGGTTTTAGGCAGTTCAAAGGGCCTTTGGGGCCTGGAGATGTCTACTTAGGCCCTCTGGCTCTGCAACCAAGTTGGCAACCTGGATCTGACACACTAGCCCCACAGAGCCTGGGGCTGCCCAGGGCTCCAATATTTGGGAGAGTTCAATGGAAATTTGGATTTATAGCTGGTTGTACCTAACTAAGGTCTACTAGAGTTGTGGTGAAATAGTAAGGATGTCAGGTTGTGGGGGAGAATTTTGCATCAAGAATTTAAGTATAAGCCCTATTTTGAAACTACTTTATAGCTTTCATAGGAAAGATATAACCTAATTATAGCCTTAGAATACGGGGAGGGAATGGGGAGGGGAGAGGGGTGGATGGGTGGAAGGAGGGGAGAGGGGTGGATGGGTGGAGGTGATTGGTGGGGTCACCTCTATGGTTTATTTTACAAGGGTACAAGTGAATCTTTCTAAAAGCAGAGTATGAATGTCTTAATAACTAAGAAAATGACATGAAGGCTACGTTAACCAGTTTGATGAGAGTATTTCAAATTGTATGTGAAAACACCACACTGTACCCCGTGGTTGCATTAATGTACACAGCTATGATTTAATAAAAAAAAGAAAAGAATTTAAGTACAGAGGGACTGGGAGAAGAGGGAGGGTGATTGATGGGATCTCATCTAATGTATACAATGTGAGGGTATTCAACACGCCCCCTGGATGAAGAGCTTAACTACAACTTGAACTTTACTTTAGAAATGTAAGCAATGGGCTCAGCGCCTGTGGCTCAAGCAGCTAAGGCACCAGCCACATACAACTGAGCTGGGGGGTTCAAATCCAGCTTGGGCCCTCATCCAGCCTGGGCCCGCCAAACAACAATGATGGCTGCAACCGAAAAATAGCCAGGCATTGTGGTGGTCACCTGTAGTCCCAGCTACTTGGGAGGCAGAGGCAGGAGACTAGCTTGAGCCCAGGAGTTGGAGGTTGCTGTGAGCTGTGATGCCACAGCACTCTACCAGGTTGACAGCTTGAGGCTCTGTCTCAAAAAAAAAAAAGAAAGAAATGTAAGCAATGTAACCTAATATTAATCTGAAAATAAATAAATAAATAGAATTTAAGTACCAAAAACATTTGGAATCTTGAGTTAGGAAAGCTATATTCTAGTTCTGGCTTTGCACAACAAGCAAGCTGAGGCACAGAGGGCAAGTGACAGTATCCACAGAAACAAGAGCAAGAGGAACAGTAAGAGCAGCTCATGCTTCTCTTGGGTTGAGTGCCAGGCTTCAGTTCAATGCTTTAGCTTGTTATCATCCCAGAAGCCACCCAAGGCAGAATGCAGAGGAGGACAACCAGGCACAAAGAAAGCTAAAATAGGATCGCCCAGTTAAGGGGTGGAGCCGTGTGTGTGTGTGTGTGTGTAGCTGAGTGCACCCCTCAGCATGAGGCCCAGAGCAGGGAGGGCCCCAGGCATCTCTCACTTCTTGGGCTTCTTGAGTGCACCTGTCTTGCCCACTCATCCTGGAGCTGAGCGTCCCTGATAGGCTCCCTGTGGGCCTGGACAGGTGTGGTTTATGTTGCTCACCAGGAAATTAGTAAGTTCTGATCTCTAGTACTTCAGCATATGCTGGTTTCCCTTTCCCTCCTGCCATCACCCTGCACTAATTCTTCCTGCATTCAGCTCTCCAGGGACCTCAGGACTGCTTGTAGGGAAGAGGGGTCTAGGGAGACCTGCCTGGGACAGTTGCCAGGCTACAGAGGCTGGGCTAGCTGGAGCAAGTTGGCCCTTATTGTTCATTTGTGAATTTTCAGGAAGGTGCATTCGCGTTGGTTTTCAAGAGCATCCATTACCCAGGAGAAGCTGTTGCCACAAGGTAAGGCAAAATGCATTGATATTTCTGATAAGAAAGAAATGAATAAAATAAAATTGCTTAGCTTGAGGTATGGAGGAGGAACAGGGCCTCCAGCACACAGGAAGGTGCTGGCTGTGTGTAAAGAGCAGCTATGGGTTAGCCCCAGTGACTGCGCCCCACCATCTCTGTGGCCAGTGGTACTAGAACTTCTGAGTTTTTAAATACAGAAACCAGAAAGTTGGATTTTTATTTGGAAAGTCCAGAATGTTAGAAATTGGCAGCAAATTCAAATTAAAAATAAAGCTGTATTGGGGGGGTAAATCCAGGTTTTGTGGGACTTAAAGCCAGTAAAATTTGGAGAAGACTGTCTTTAAGAAAAGGCATAGGCTCGGCGCCTATAGCTCAACCGGCTAGGGCGCCAGCCACGTACACCTAAGGTGGCGGGTTCGAATCCCCAGCCCGGACCCGCCAAACAACAATGACGGCTGCAACCAAGAAATAGCCGGGCGTTGTGGCGGGCGCCTGTGGTCCTAGCTACTTGGGAGGCAGAGGCAGGAGACTCGCTTGAGCCCAGGAGTTGGAGGTTGCTGTGAGCTGTGATGCCACGGTACTCTACCCAGGGGGACAGCTTGAGGCTCTGTCTCAAAAAAAAAAAAAAAAAAAAGAAAAGGCATACAAAATTATGAATACAAAAGTAAGAACCAGAGTGGACATTGATTTAGATCCAATACCAAAGAAGCCTTGGAGGCCGAGATCTCAAACTTTATAACCTTCACAGCAGGTGTGTTGCAGCATTTAGCCCAGAGAGCCTGGTTCAGCCCACACATGGCTCCCAGAGCTGTCTGGATTTACAGAAATTAAGCCATCTTTTATTTTATATTGAGATGCATTGATTATCCACCTGTACATGCAACTGATATTTATTGAACACTTACTGTGTTCCAGGCCTTGGTCACCTAGTGACATTCAACCTGGTCCCTTCTCTGAAGGGCTGGACAGCTGTACGAGAAGTCAGAGAAGGGCAAAGGATGGTGATGCTCTGTGACTGAGGACAATGCACTGGAGGCGGGAGGGGAAACAGGTGTCAGCCTGGAGAAGGCAGGCAGCTGGAGAGGCCCTGACCAGCATGAGCAAAGGCAAAGGGCCCAGGGCAAATGTAGTTGCCCCCAGGATCCCTTCTAGATTCCAGATGGTGGCAGGGTGGAGGGGCACTGTGGAACTTGAGGCTCTTCCATGCTCAGTGTGTGCTTATTGCCATTAGCTATATGCCAGGAATAGGGGACATCACTGAGAAAGGGGGTGTGGACCCTGCTCCAGAAGCCTCATGAGCTGGTGAGAGTAGAGAAGTGGGCAGACCACCCTGTGGGCTGTAGGCTTCATTCTGAAGCTCCCAGGAGTCATGGAGGATGTACTCATGGCCCTAAGAGACTGGGCCATGAAGGGTGAGTCTGTCCTTGGCAGATAGTCACAGTGTCTGGGCAACAAATGATAGGCATTTACTTTTTTCTGGTACTGGAACTGATTTACCATTTTGAATTTAATTCTTTCCAGTCATAGAATTATAAAATAACAGTTGGTTCTCATCAAATTTAGAAGCTCCTTTTAAAATATGATACTATCATGATGTTACACATATTATTTAAAATGAAGTCAGAAGAGAGCACTGTGAAGAAGCAATAAAGTTTTATGGCTCTGTAACCTCCAGGACAATCTTTGGGATACCCTGGAGAATTATGTTCCATTCTGGAGGAACCACAGAGCTCCACCTATAGCAGTACAATTGGGGGAGCCATTTGCCAAGAAAATTTAAACACACTTCTCGCTGTCATTATTATAAAGACTATTTAAGCTTTAAATAGTCTACCTGCTAGGCCTAGAACTATGCCTCAGATTTGCTTAAGACATAATAAAAGATTGACCAAAATAATCAGTGTGCTCATAGCACCTTCTTCAAAGCCACATTTTGTCCCCCACTTTGAGAAGTCAAAAGTAGGATTCAAACACGCTGGAAAACAGGGTCTATTGTTCATAACTATACTGAGTTGGGTTAACAACTAGTGGTTATATGTGGGCAGGATTCAGGCTATCAGTAGTTCACTAGTTCATTGACCTAAGTTAACAAGAAGCTAGTCGAGGTAACCAGGTAACCACTGTATTCTAATTAATGTACTTGAAACAGTTCTCTTAAATTGCCTCTTTGCCACCTGCTGTGCGTGTGTGGAGAGGTGGCTGAGGCATCCTTTAATAACTACTGGAATTTTACCTGCCTGGTTCTGACTTGAATGGTGGGTTTAGAGTGTGTGAATTATGAAAATGAGCTGCTTATTTCTATGCACACTCATTGTAAATTTGATTTGCATGCTGTAATTTATAAGGATGAGCAAAGAATTAGATTTTGGAGGCAAGATGTCATTAAAATCATGGAGTAATACCTTAAACACATTACCTGCTAGAAATTGTGAACGAGGAAGAAATACCACAAAGCACTTTCCTGAGGATCCCCTTAGGGGATACGGGAGAGCCAGGGTTGGTGGTTGAGCCAGAAGATCTGGGAGAGGAGGCCTGGGTTAGGGCCCTCCCCTGGCCGGCTGCAGGAATTACCCATGAGTCTGCCTTGTGAAAATCATCATCTGGTTCATGATGAAGGACTGCCTTGCACAGGTCAAAGATTCTAAACTTTGTCCACAAGGTGTCACTCAGGCAGAGACAAAACTACCCTGGAAATTGCATTAAGTAGCCCACAGAGTGTGTATACACAAAAGTCAGTCAGTTTAATGCCTGCTAAGGATGGAGAGCAAGGGGGCTGGGTGACAGCAGGAAACAAAAAGGGAGTCTTTGTGCAGATCCGGGCATGGAGCCCTCCTGTTTTAGGGGTGCACAGCTGAGGAAGGCTAGGGTGCCCCACATGTTATTGCTCAGCCTCGGTGATCTAACTGTGCGGGTTAGTCCTGTGTGGGGATTCACTGAACTCGAAGTGTCCCTGGTCCTGGCAGGGATGGAGGGTACAACAGGTCACCAGGCTCACTAGGCAGGTGGGAATAACAAGTCAGTGAGCTGGCCCGTGGGTCCCTATTCTGGACCCTGAGAGCATCTTTCTGTGGTCAAGAGATCCATCCTGTGGAGCCTAACCACGATTCTCTGCCCCAGGGAAAGGGGATGATTTGGGGATGCCATCTCAGATGCTAGGACATCCAACCCCTGGCTGTTGAAGGTGATAAGTAAACTTTATGCTTTCTTCTCTCTCCAGGAGAGGCAGCCCTCTGCTCATTGGAGTGCGGAGCAAATACAAGCTGTCCACGGAACAGATCCCCGTCTTGTATAGGACATGTAAGTCTCTCCAGAGGACCTGGAAAATGTGCAGATGCTGCCGCATGTCTCGGGACTTGGTGGTGGCTGCCATGGGGCAGCCAGCTCCCCTCTGAGGCAAGGATGTTCCACTCTGGTCAAGGTCCAGCTGGCACACAGTTCCAGGTCTAAAAGCGTGTCAGCTGATACTTGGCTCCACTTTTTTAAAAGAACTTTTTATTAGAGATATTGTCAAACAGACACAAAAGAGGAGAGAATGGCATGCGGCTCGGCTCTGTCGTGTACTGGCAGTGTGCCTGGATTTGAGAGCTTTGGTTTGTTTTGTTTGCATTGCTCTTGTGTGGTAGCTGTATAAATGCTCTTGCAGTGGTACTGTGCTATTTGGGGATCTTTTACATGATTCAGCTGATGCAGCCAAAGCTAAAAATTGCAGATTTCTCCCACACACATTCAGAAGGAAAATCAGTTCCTTGCTGCATGACGTGCAAACAAAATAATGGGATTTGCCATCCGTTCCTTCCTTTGCTAGGCGCTCTTGAGAACGTCAAGAACATCTGTAAAACAAGGATGAAGAGGCTGGACAGTTCCACCTGCCTGCACGCAGTAGGTGACAAGGCTGTGGAATTCTTTTTTGCTTCTGATGCGAGGTAACTAAATGTTCTTACTTTTCCTTCCTGGCATTACATAATCAAAGGGTACCTGTCTAAACAGCTCCATTCCTCACTTATCCCCTACGTGAGCCGTTTTCTCATAGCTCAGCAAGGTGTGGGGCCAAAGCAGGTTTCAGCCCCTGGTGGCCCTCATCCTGGAGTTCTTGTCCAGGGAGCACCTACAGGGCTGGGGTAGACAGATCCACTGACAGGTGCAATGTTTGAACCTGCAAAAAATAATTAAATTATTTGCCAACATTTAAAAATTGGAAGATTTTACGTAAAAATCTGTATTTCTAGCTTCTCTGGAAATCTACTGTGTTACTGCAGGCCCCAGGTATCTGTCTGCTCAAAGGCTGCCCCCCTTCAAATGAGGCATGTGTCTCCGGACCTCAGTTCTTCCCACCACCACCCCCACCTTTGCCTGAGCTCTGACCATTTGTAAAAGACAGAGCCAACATTTATGGGGTTTGTGCCATTGATTTTTAAAGTCCATGTTCTCATCAATCCACAAAATAATAATTTTGAAATTTGAGAAACACTGCTTCATATCCATTGTACCACAAAAATTTTATGCTTGTACACATATGTAGTATACACACACACACACGCTTTCCTGCCATTTGAAATTGACAATCACTATAAACACCACTACTACCTTTTTCATCCGGGTCTTTCCATTCTAGATGAGTTTTCTCTTTCCTACCCAGCCTCTAGTAGGCCAGTAGGGCCTTGCTGTACAGCAGGGAGTACTCCAGGCCAGGTGTCCTGGGAAATGAGAACGATGGGAATGCAGGGTCTGTTTAAGGCCACAGCCAGCATCAAACTCAACCACAGATAAGGGTGGCATTTCCTAAATTGTATTCCTTACAACACCAGTTCAGTGGGAAGTTAAGATGATCTCAGGGATACTAAGACACAGTATTTTATAGAATTTGGCATCTTGCTGTTATAATTTGGTGAAGTTTTTATTTCTTTGAAGTGTTTCAAACGATTGTGATCTTACAACCCATAGTACCTATTTTTAATGAAATATGATAAATATTTCTTTTTTTAAGAAACATGAATGCCTGAAAGGAGATGAAATAATTATTTGTAGTCAATGCTGTTATATGCCTTTTAATCCAGCTGAAAGGCTATTAGGACTTATTATTATAAGAGCAGCTGAGAAAAAAGGTGTGGAAATCCCTATTCTAGCCACTGCCCTTAAACTGATACCTGCCTTATTCCCTCCTGTATCTCCTCACATGACCGGGCTCCAGAGGCTCTCCACAAACATTTGGTAATTAAAAAAAGCAATGTGACTCACCATAGCTGGAAAAAAATGTTTAATTAAATTCCTTAGAATAAATCTCAATAAAAATGGTCTAGAGGGTACCAAGAGTGACGGATTCAAACCCAGCCCCAGCCAAACTGCAACAAAAAATAGCCAGGCGTTGTGGCGGGTGCCTGTAGTCCCACTTGGGAGGCTGAGGCAAGAGAATCACCATAGCCCAGGAGTTGGAGGTTGCTGTGAGGCTACCAAGGGCAATAAAGTGAGACTCTGTCTCTTAAAAAAAAAAAAAAGATCTAGAACCTGTTTGGAGAAAACTACAAACATTTACCGTGAAAAACATGATTTGGATGAAGGGGGAGATTGCACATTCCTCAGTAGGAAGGCTTACTATTATTTCTTTTCTTTCTTTTTTTTTTTTTTCCTTTATGTTATAAAGACAGAGTCTCACAATATTGCCCAGGCTGGCCTCAAACTCCTGGGTTCAAGGGATCCTCCAATCTTGCCCTCCTGAATAGATGTTCTCAAAAATTAATGGACTTAAATTTTAAATTAATTTAATAGTTAAAAATTACTTTTAAAAATGTTGATTCTCGGCTCGGTGCCTATAGCTCAACCGGCTAAGGTGCCAGCCACGTACACCTGAGGTGGCGGGTTCTAATCCCCAGCCTGGACCCGCCAAACAATGATGACGGCTGCAACCAAAAAATAGC